AAATGAGCGGTACTGAAAAAGAGCAAGACGAGATATAGTCAAATACATTTATTACAGTTAGAAAGAACGGGATGTTGCGGTGTGTAATGACTGCCTAAGTCCTGAAAGTACCCTGCACCTAAAAGCACACCTTGTATGTCGCCCATTGACTTGTGCGTTAGATAAAAATCAGACAAAAAACAATCAACAGAATGTCTACCACAGGCCTGAGATAGTTTCATATTTCCCACTTGTGAGGATGATGGGTGTTCGATCCCAATTAAAAGCTAAGATTTCAAATACTGATTTTCAAAGCAAGTATATTCATTTTCATGCGGAATATTGTGGAATATACCTTCCTACCTCTATTCGTCCTATTGGCCTTGTATTCGCCGAAAGAAGAATATCGAAAATTCACCGAGAAACGGTTTATTTTGTTTTACGGCATATCAAGCTCAGTGGGTTTTTTAATGCCGAAGAGATTTTTAGGATAGGTTCGTATGAATAGAATATGTATTCTTTATAAGAAATCAGTTTATAGATCAGGTTTCATTGACGTATTTTTGTAGAGGTTTTTTTGTTTAGAATGAAATCTATTGTTGGTAATATTTTTTTTTCCAAAATGTATTGCTGGCAATATTGATTTTCTTTCAAAAATGTATTAATGGTATTTTTACTATAAAAATCTATTTTTGAACTTTCATAGTGTTTTGACCCCAATTTAGGAGGTGGGGGTAAACTATTTGCCCTTAGCTACCACCCCGGGTCAGAGTGAACCTGGGAACGGCAACAATTAAGAGGTGGTTCCAGACACCTCATAATCTCCCGATCAGGGTCCTGATTGCCAGATGTTGTTTATCGTCATACCCATGACGACCTAGAAATGTAATGGAAATGTATTTGAACCCTGAAAACTAGTAGTTGTATATAGGGCAACAAACATGCTCACGCGACATGGAACCGATGTGCTTTCCGTAGGAAACAGATTTTTACGAGGGGGAGATACTTGCCCTACACCCAACTGGTTTTAAATTCAAAATTCCCCTTCTCCTAAACTGACCAAAGATAAACAGCTCAGTCTGCCATTATATTAATCCCTAGGTGGGAAGCATGGAGAGATTGATTCAAATCTCTCCAGCGTTTTTTTTTTTTTTTTTGGCGAAAGTGAACGAAACGACATCAATTGGAATCGGAACTCATCCGATCCCTCTTTCCGTGGTTACTACTGGTAATCGCTCATCCAAAAGTGATGCGAAAAAAGAGATTAAAGATTGTAGATTCCTGGACGTTATAAATGCATATGTATTTTACTGTATATATATGAGCACATGTAAAGTAAAATATGTTACTATGCTCTCTCTCTCTCTCCCTCTCTCTCTCTTTCTCTCTATCCATCTATCTATATAATATATATATATATATATATGTGTGTATATATATATATATATATATATATATATATATATATATATAATCTCTCCGTGAAATACATCTACGTCTACATGCATTAAAATGGATATATTTAGATGTAGTTGAGTTAATTCGGATATAATGCATGTATTTAGTACAATGTTACCATCTATTTGTTTTTGCTTGAAGTGTGTGTGTATATATATATATATATATATATATATATATATATATATATATATGTGTGTGTGTGTGTGTGCGTGTGAAGTATATATATATATATATATATATATATATATATATATATTTTAATACTTATATTCGACTGGTGAAAAAAAAACCCGGATAGTACAATTTTGCAAATAAAAATATATTTAGAAAAACTGGTATCAAGGAAAAAAATCACAAAAAATGAAAAGACTAAAAACATTCGCGTTGGTCGAAAAAATATCACCCAACACTGCAATGCCTGATGATGACTCGGAGAACCGATTTCCAATTCCAGTTGTATTCATTATATTCACTTACGCGCAAATACCCTTGGGAAAAGTATGAAACCACCTTTTCTATCCCCAGCTATGGGTTAATTAGTAAAACTTTTATCGCTAAAAAAAGGAAATTAAAAAAGTAAATTAATAAAACTTGTATCCCCAAAAAGTAAAATAAAATTACGTATAAAATATTTAGATTTCGGTATTAAGTAACCCATAGAGGTGTTGATATGCCGCTAAACAAAAAGAACCAAACCAAATCATCGCATGAAACAAACATAGAAAAAGCACAAAATACTGCTGCTCCCGCTCCTTCTCATCACCACCATCATCACCGTCATCATCATCACCATCATCATCACTATCATCATCACCATCATCATCACTATCATCATCACCATCATCATCACCATCATCAGCGCCATGACCTTGTGTGATCGCTGGTCAGTACTCTCTATATATCTGGGTTGAAAGCCTGAGAGGTTTTTATTCGTCTTGGTCTAACGGTGCCCACCTCTCTTCAAATATATTTGGTGGACTCGTTTGAAATCGACGTAACCCTGGCCCTGACCATTGTTTTTATTCGACTGTATTATGATCTTGAGCAAGTAGATCTAACGGTGCCCAGCCTACCGCCGATGTCTGTTAATTTTCTGAATAGGATGTGTGTTGTTTTTGTTCCATTTTTATAATTCGTCCACTGGTATTATTTGATTCAATTTTTTATTTCGACGTATTTTGATAGTTTTCCCTTGGTTGCTATGTTACAATCCCTGACCATTGAATTTTAGGCAAGTTTTTTTCTTCTGGTTTTTGACTAATGTATTTGTTTCAATGATGATTTCATCTTCTATTTCTGTAACCGTCTGTTCATACCAGTTTTGCTTACATTTTCCAAAGTTTTGCATTGTCCATGTAAGTATTATTTTATTTCATTTGGGGCAAGTATAGAACATCCTGAGATTAGATGGTCTATTGTTTCTTGGTATTCACAGAACCTGCATTTTGGATCCACAAATGTTCATCTTTTTGGTCTTGCGCTGCAAAATAAAGTCTTCATTATTATTATTATTATTATTACTATTATTATTTTACTATTATTATTATTATTATTATTACTATTATTATTATTACTATTATTATTTTGGACCAAAATGTTCATCTTTTGGTCGCTGTCTTTCCACTGGGTACATTCCTAGGAATTTCAGACCGAACGCTTTATTCAGTCCACGGGATCAGATTGTTCGTAATTCTTAGAGGAGATTTCATGTCACTTCTAACCAGTTTTATTTCCATTTTTATCTCTTGTCCCTTCCTTTAACTGAAATAAATGTGACTTTTCAGCATTACCAGACTCGAAGATTGAACTCACCACTGCCAGTAAACAAGATATGTTTCAACCAAGGCAAATAATGATAATCGCTCATCTCAGAAATGTTCTCCGAATACAGTTTCACTCGGTAAAACACTAGAAACTTGGCAGGAACAACTTTGTCACGGCACATTATATATAAAAAAAAAAACATAAATAAGTTCACCTATCGTCTTGTTCACTCCCCTCCCCGGTTTATTTTACAGAAGTAGTGGCTTATCTCTTGTTTCTTGTTTAGGATTGGGTTTCCGCTTCTTTTTAAAGTTTTTTCATTCTCTTTCACTCCCAGTAGTCTCTTGCGGGTTAGTGGAATTATTACCTTGTTTGGGGTGAATTGATTTAAAAAGTACAACCTCCTTTTTGTTTTGCAATTTGATTCATACTAATCTGTTTTGTCATCCAAATGGAGAATATTTTTAGAGATTTCCCAACTAAGGAGACCTTGTACCAGACTTTGGTCACTCTTGCTGAATTAGAATAAAAAATATTGGATCTATGAATAATGATTTTAATAGGCGAATATAACATTACGTCAGACTTGTTTTTAGGAAAATAAGTAAAAATCAAAATATTATCCCTTCAGCGTGATGTGTATCAGTGTAGATTTTTTTTTTCTCTGTTACCTTTGCTTCCTTTGCATTGCTTTGAATCTTACGGAACCATTATCTCTGAATAATCGAATATGAAGAACTTAAAAAATATTTTTCAGTAGTCCTCCCGATATGACAAGGAGACGCGGACAGCCATCGGGGTAACAGATATATCAGTAGAATTCGAGTGCAAAGAAACTAAAATGAAAGAAGTGTTTTGCTGTGTATAAGTTCAAAATTTAAAAATGTTTTTTTGTGATATTCGCTGATCCTTATTTCTAAGGAAGTGAGGAATTTATCCAACAGGTTAATTCAAAGGAAAACAGAACGTCACGACAAGGAACATTCATTTATTTAAAAATCCTTTTTCCAAAAAATCGGAATAAATCATCGAAAAAAATGAATTGCTTTTTTGTTTTTTGTGTTCTTTTTGGCCGGGTTGAAAACTTTTCACCAAAAAGAAAAGGTAAGAAAAAAAGATAAGAAATAGGAAGGGGATCAAATGGTAACTAAAGTAATCCAGATAATAATTCCGTATACGTTTTATTCATTTTTACAATTCGAAATCTAAATTAAAGGATCAATCCCCCCAGCTATGGGTAAAATAGTGCGAGTAATAATAATTCCCTATACGTTTTATTCATTTTTATAATTCGAAATCTACATTAAAGAATCAATCTCCCCCTAGCTATGGGTAAAATAATGCGAGTAATAATAATTCCCCATACGTTTTATTCATTTTTATAATTCGAAATCTAAATTAAAGAATCAATCTCCTAGATCTGTGGGTTAAATAGTAGACCGTGCATTAGGAAAACGCAATGTTATTTTCAAGAAATTGTTAATGCAATATTCACTTGCGAAATTATTAATTTGTTAATTATTCTTACAATCCAAAATATGTTTCAGCTTTAAATATTCTTCAGGGGGTTGATAAGCCGAAAAATCAAGTCAATCAATCAATTAATCGTTCAAAAGCCTAAATTAAAATTCAATTTGAATGAAAAAAAAAATAAAGAAGAAATATTGGGAGGAGTGAAATTAACATATTTTTCCAAATCAGAATTCCTCAATAGCTACCATTGAAAACAATATACCTCCACCTGTCTTAAAAATTTTAACACTTTTTTTTTTCCTCTGTCTATAATTTATGTCAGCTTACGGCCGTATCACGTTGAAACACCAGTTCCCGTACGATCACCGAATTTAATCACCGTTGAGCCTGGTCAGATGACTGACCGCTTGGGAACACCTGGTGCTGTAAGCTTAGATGTGCGGGTGGTGTAATGGATAATGGCTCAGAATTGTTAATCGGAGAGCAGTGTTCTAATTCCATTTGTGTTCGTTATATTCACTTACGCGCAAATACCCTTAGGAAAGGTATGGATCCTCATCTTCTCCCCCAACTATGAGTTAATTAGTAAATCTTGTATTACTAAATAATTATCCCCCTCACCAAAAATTTCTTACAATTTAAAAATGTTTTCTGGCTTTAAATAACCTGAAAATGCTTGATAATCCGCAGAAAACAAATCAGTCAGTTTATGTAGTAGTTTCAGAGTTTAACTTACCTTCTATTCGATAAGAAAACTATCCTCGTATTGCATCACTCTGTCCTCAAAGAACGTCACATACTTGTGCTTTCTGATTTACTAAGTTAAATTAATCAAATATTTCTCTTCTTTCGGGTTCATATTTGTTCGATTCTTCGTCTAGATATTATGCAACCGTTCTTAATGTTTCTTAAATATGAATTAATTGAATATTTAACAATTTCCGAAGCCTATGCTATTATTGTTGTTGGTTCTTTGTGTTCATGTAACGTTAGCTTGATTCACATAGATTAAAACTAAAAGCAAGGCGTATCATAACGGATATTCGCTTTTTACCTACCAGCAGCAAAAATCGGTTTTCCAAACCAGATAAAAACCAACATTTTAAATGCTGATTTCAAAGTAAGCAAACTTTTCTTACTTCGAAGATTGGTGCAACAATGTTTACCTCTATACATCATGTTACTTTGTACTATACCAAGCTAAGCTTTGTATATATATCAATAATTTTTTTTTATTAATTCAAGTAAAAAACCATGTCTAATAAAATAAGCCATGTTTTCGTTTGATTACAACCACAAACGGGAAAATAGCGATATTTAAATTTGTGTTCTTGTGCTGTTTGAAGTTAGTCTGTAATAATCCATTCTCTGAACATTTATTTACTAATTTACTTTACGACAATTGAAATTCTTAGTAGGATCAGTGACTACCATTCTGTTATTAGGTGTTATTCTTAATGAACGCCGTATCTTGCTACCAATTAATAATTCAGGTAATATCTCTTGCGTTCCTACATCCAAATTTCACGTATTTTTTTTTATGTGATGTTCCGTTAAAATAATTTATATAATTTTGGGCATAACTGATTTGTCGTACATGAAAAGGAATATCGTCTTGTGCGTCTATGACTGGTTTTATTTATACATACAAGTCACAATATAAGAGTCGATATATTTGGAGCCTCAACGTTTGTAGATTACACAGTATAAACCGAAGTTATTAGTAATAACTCTAAAACAAAAACCGAAGTTATTAGTAATAACTGTAAAACAAAAACCGAAGCTATTATGAATGACTTTAACAAAGGGACTGAAGTTATTATGAATGACTTAAAAATAAGAAATAAGGAAATGGCTTATGGCGGCTTCACTCGGAAATGGAGAGGAGGCAGATGGAAAATTTTAAATTAATTTAAATTAATTTATTTTGCACTTCCTTCTATCGTTCGTTATGTTGATAGTGTTTCTTAGATCATATTTATGCTGCCAAGGATGTTAAAGAATAAATCGATAATTATGCAGTTTATTGTTTACTTGTAAAATCTAATTTCATAAAAAAATATAAATTGCTTAGTTTGTTTTCGTTTTTGTTGCTTTTGTTGCCTTTCCATAAACACTAAAAGCAATTATCAAAACTGTTTCATAATTCAATTCAAACTGAAAACAATTGTAACACAATTGAAAATGAGTTTATTTTATTTGAAGCCTTACTGAAAATTTAAACTTACTGCAATACATTTTAGTGAAGAGAAATGGATTTTCTCATATGGATTTGTGAAAAACCTTTGCAATGTTCCTTCAAAATGTTTAAAAGAAAAGAAGTCTGTATTTGTTTCTTTTTTTTTTCATTCTATAACATAATATAAATTTTATTGTTACAAATAAATCAAATTAAATGTCAATATTTATCCTAAATTTAATACCACTTCTTCCTTATACCGACAAATGTCGCTATTAATTCTAAGTATATAAATTGTATCATTTCTTGAAAAAAGGTCATTGTTTCTGTGTAGCTAATAAATATGAGAAATATATCAATATGAATTTTATAAACAAAGAATGTTGAGTAAATTTGAATGAATTTGTCATAAATTTGAAAATAAAAATCTAATGCATATAAACTATAAAATTTAAGATGGTCCCGCCTTATACATAAAAAATAATCATAAAGAAGGCAATATGAATTATATAAACAATAATCATTCAGGCGGTATCACATATAAACAATAATCATTAAGAATATATCACATATATAAGCAATAACCATTAATTTTATCATAAATATATATAAGCAATAACCACCTATATAAATAATCATTAAAACAATTTTATCACATATATAAACAGTAATCATTAAGAATATAATATCACGTATTTAAGCAATAATCATTAAAATAGTTTTTTCAAAGATATAAACAATAATCACATACATATATCATAATCGTTAAAACAGTTTTATCACAAATATTTAAAATAATCCTATACAAGATGCAATGGGCAAATTGTTGCCATTTTATATTTTTAATTTCGCGTATACGCGTTATTTGTTTTTCATTTTGTGGTCTGAACAGTATAGTAGGGTCAGATGGACACCACCTGTGAGAAAAAGAGAACAATAACGCAATTCACTCCACTAGAAATTTAGAAATAGCGTGCTATACTGATGGCATTCGCACCGGAAGCTCTAATACGAACATTTCAGAGTGTTTGAGTATCAATCTGAGGACAGTGCAGAGGATTCGGAAAGAGTTGGATGAGTCTAATGGTGATTACGAAGGTGCGGCAGCTCGGAAAACTCACACTGATCGTTCTAATAAAAAAAGAACTTCCGAATTTGTTGGCGAGGGCCACAGACTCAACACAGAGGCCTACATCAAGTGCCTTGAGAAGTTAGTGTTGCCCTGGGTCAAAAGGGTAGCTGTTGGAAGACTATGTCTGGCAAAAGGACTCAGAAGCTGGAGAGCCCAGTCATGGCTCTCAGACAATTTCTGTGACTACATCTCCCTTTACATCTGGCCACCTACTACCCAGACTGCAACCCTCTTGATTATGTGTAGAGCACAGTTGAGTGAGAGACCAACAAAATCCCTTGTAACACCACAAATGAACTGAAAGCAAGGATTATGGCAGCATTCACCAACTTAAACAAGGAAACCGTTCAGAAGAGGTGCGGGAGATTTCGAAGTCGTTTGGAGATGGTGGTTGAAGCCAACGGCAATTTTATTGAATAAATTTACTCTTTAGTATTTCAAGATATTTTTGTGCAATTTCGGTAAATATATCTGTTAAAATATGATGTCAATGTTATTTTCATTTTTGAATAATTTAGATGAAAATTTATCTATCGCACGTTGAATATAATCATTAAAACAGTTTTATCACATATATAAATGATAATCATTATGATGGTAGTATCACACATAAAATATATTTATTTAAGAACTTATCAACATTAAAGATGGCGCCTATAAACTTTTACAATTCATGAGAAAATATCAATTTTTTAATGCCATCAATTCAATGTAACTTCCTGGAATTTTGAGAATTTTTCCAGCTTACAGTACAAGGATTTCAAAGCATCCAGAATAGCAAGAAATTCGGTTTAAAACTTAAATCAGGGTCATCTTTATTATGACTGATACATAAACTGAAATATCACCATTCATTGACAATCCAAACTTGTGAAAGCTTTCAGATCATGCAGGAGATTTTTTGAGACAAGTTGCCTTAGAAAAAATTATTCGAGGGAAACATCTTAGAAATATTGAAATGTGAATCATGTGCCGCGCTTTAATAAAGTATCCAAAGCGTGGGAATCCGATCTAAGTGGGTTTTTTTGTAGTTCGGTCACCCCACAAGGATAGAAACGTTTTTTGTTTTTGTTTTTGTTTGTATCATGTTTCATTTTATCTCAAGTATTTTTCATTAAAATAGAACGGTAGATGCGTAGTTTTTATATAAACTAATATATTTAATTCAGTATGATGTTTTTTTTTTTTTTTTTTTTTTTTTGTCCAATTAATCGTCAGATCAGAAATGGATACTTTGAGTTCTAAATGCTCTTTTTGGTTTATATACTGCGCAAATATTGGGAAACTAAAGATATAACATTTTTACAGTATTTTATCTTATTTACCTACAGTATGATTCATTTATATTGGAATTAAGCCCTGATTCTACTTATTCTGGCATCACTTTGTGTCTGGTAACATTTGAACTCTTAGTGACAAGTCTGCAACCAGAAAAAAAGCGTATTTGCAGGAACTGACAGTTACTTTGTTTTAAAACTTTCTCAAGAATAAATGCAATTTTCAAAGGAACATTAACACAGATGACATTGAATTTCAACAAATGCGATTTCGAGAAGCAATCACTCTTATATAATTGACATCAAAATATGTATTCAGGCTTTGTTTAAAAATCTAAGACTTTGACTTATTGAAACGTTCTGGAATGCCAGAAAGAAAAGACAGCTCCAGGAAATGAGATAAATAGAAGCTTTCCCTCACCCCAAAGCTGTTCTTCATACCCACATATATAGTTGTTCTTTTGTCGTTCAATAGTAAATCTGTAAATCAAAATGATGTTGGTGGTGTGAGGATAACGGCTCATCTTGTCTGTACGGTGGTATAATGGATAAACGGCCCGAAACTGGAAATCAGACATCCGAGTTCTAATTCCAGTATACTCACGTACGCTCAAATACCGTAGTATAAATTATTATCATTTCTCCAAAAATTCTTACAATCAAAAAAATATTTTGTGGGGTTTAAATAACCTACAAAATGTTGACAAATCGTAAAAAACAAATCAATCAATTTATCTATGGGCAGCTGTTAGAACTTTTTTTCAAAAGAACATTATAGATACAAGGATTAACTTACTCGGTCCTAAGACCATAATAAGGGAACCTACAAAATGCTCGCAATA